TTATAAATAAATTTGTTAGATGATGATTTGTATTATGTGAAAAAGAAGTATTGTAAACTTTTTATTCATATTATACTATTTAATATTAAAAAAGTTACATAATAAAATTACCATACTTCAATAAATAAAAAGCAAAAATTTAAATAAGTTATATAAACTAGTTACAGAGTATACAATCTACCAATCACTGTCCTGACGCCAATTTTAGCTCCACAGCCACCGTTGCACTGCAAGCATCCCGAAACTCTAGTCCGACAAAGCTTTTTATTTTATTTATTTATTATTATTATTATTATTATTATTATTATTATTATTATTATTATTATTATTTACATAATCATGCTCTTTTGTTAAGATAATCTCTTGTGTAATACATGATAAAAGACTAAAGATTTATTGTATATTAGTTCTAGTTTTCTAATTCGCTCAGATTTCGAAGAGATAATTTTGTTTCTAATTGCTTGATATTTTCATCTTACCCCTTTGTTGAATAATACAATAATACAGAAAAAAAAAGATGGGATATTTGAAGTTTAAGGCTGAAGGTGAAAATGGAACTAGCACAATAATGCTAAAGAGTCAACTATTGGTTCCGTTATGGAGCCAACAACTAATAAAATAGCTCTATGTTGGACTTACGCACATGACTCAATGTGGGACAACACCATATAGAGTTGTTCCATTGATTGTTGGCTCCATAACAAAGCCAACATTTGGCTCTTTAGCATTACTGTAAACTAGCAATAGACCTCCATTTCATTCTGCTATTCTGAAGGCGATAATTTTTGTTATAATTCTACAAGGTGATATTTGTTGTTATTCTCGAAGGCAGTCCTAGCCCATTTGACGATGCTACAAATATTGCATAGCTTAGGGCTTGATTGTATATGAGTTAATTTACTCACTTTTATTTCAACTCAAAATCTAACTCAACTTTAACTCAACCCCACTATCTTTAATATTATTCATATAATTAAATAATACAAATCAATCATTCTTACACATCACATCAACTTTAATTCACTATTCATCCACTCACATAATTTTAACTACTTATCATTTCCAATCATTTATCTCTTACTTTTACATCAAATCAATTTTAATTATTTTATTTTAAATATTATTTTAACAAATTCTTAAAATTCCACTAACAACTAACTATACCACTTTTTTAAAATTAACTATGGTTAACCAAAATAACTCATTTTGAACAAATTATTTCATAAACAATCAAGCCCTTAGTTAACGCAGTAATAGTTATGAGATTTAGGCCTTATTTACTCTAATGGATAAGATGGGATAAGGGGCTTAACCAATCTTCTCTTATGTTACTAACTATTATTGGGACAAGGTTTTGTGATGCAGTGGATGCGTACGAGTGAGAAGGATAAAAGAGATACTCTCTCTCAATAAACCATACAAGAAGATATTTTATTTCATATTCAACTACATTCTGGCAGACTGCTAATAAATAGAGTTCAAGATCTCTCACAATCCCTAGCTTATCAAACAAGTAAATAAAATATCTTCTAACCACCTAATCAAGATAAATAAGAGATAATAATAATAATAATAATAATAATAATAATAATAATAATAATAATAATAATAATAATAACAACAACAACAATTATTATTATGCACCATTCTCCCCCAGTTGAGTAGGATTCGGCCTCGAATCCGACCTGTTCTCGTTGGAGTCGTCCCCCTAACAAGAATACCCCAATATTTTTCTCGATCGAACACGAAATTTGAACGCCTTCCAACAACCTCGCACGTAAGCATAACATACGCAAAGCCGAAACAGCTGAAGTAATACAAAATATACCACATCATTTGGCGCGGGCAAATCCATAACAACGGCCAAGCATTCCGTTGCCGGGAGACTTCGCAATAGGCAATCGGAAAATGGCCCACCAGTTAATGAGCATCGGCTTCGACTCCGAAAAACTATCTTTGGCCAAAATACTCAAAAACTCGGGTGTGACTGACGACTTTCCATTGGAAGACTTAATCATTGCGACGTCCCATGCGGGACCCATATTACTGCAAAAATATGTCTTCGTCACCGGAGACTCCTTATAAAAAATGAGCAGACCGTCGTACATTGGCCCGTCAACGTGATCCTCGTCGAAGTCAGGAATATCAGCGCGAAACGGACTCACCCATTGACCAAATTCGCTGCCATAATAATCCCCCTGCAAGGGCCCAATTTCCGCAGCTACTGAAGAGACCCAAAAACCGCAAGTGGGCTGCTTTTGTTGAGGCCCAATATCACAACTTAACTAATCTTCTACAGACTCCCAAAATCCACGTACAAATCCCGCATCCGTTGTTCTCTGCACTTGTACCACTATGTGAAATATGAGCAATTGAGCACCCTTGTGCCCCAACATAATTCTTGTTGCCCCGCCACTCATTGAGGTTGCCGTCATCGGTGAACCCAACATCTACGCGCCGCTGAACTTGAGAACCAGACCCACCAAAAATCGTCTCTTCCCAGGGTTGTCCCCATCGAGCCTTGTTGCCCCCGCTGTGGCCAAAATTGATCGCGTGTTGTCCCCAATCATGGTCGTCGGTAGTGGAAAACTCAGCGGCCCAACGTGTCTCTCGGCCAAGGAAGTCGCCACTGTCGGCAGCAGCGCGAAGCCCCTCCTGCGGCCACCGTCGCGCGCCCACCTCGCCTTCTATAGCCCGACGAAAATCACCGTCAAGGTCTCCGCTCAACCCTCCGCCTGCAGCAGTTCGCCAGAAATTGCCGTCTAGGGCTGCGCGATTGGGTGAAAATTGATAAGAAAAACACTCCTCAAGCCGTTGTTTGATGCGAAATTCACGATTGGGGCTTCATCCTGAAGTAGTTCTTTGGAAATCGCCACCTCGGGCTACGTGATTGGCCCGAAATGGGTAGTCAAAACCCTCCTCATGCTGCTGTTGACTGCGAAATCGTACATCCTTTAGAGTTTTTTTGTCGTCGCGCTCGCCACCATGTCCGAAACAACCTCCAGACCGCCGTTGCTCGCGAGCTCTGGGCTGACCTAGGTTGTTATCATCCCCCCGCCAAGGTGGTCGATCTGTAAGGGTTAGCAGACCAGTAAAGTCGTCAACGCCGTTGCCGTTCAGAGGTGGCTGGGATCGCTGCCGGGGTGCCCGGCATGGTTGCTTTCCCCACAACCGTCTCTGTATCCCCCGCGATAGTCACGACCTCCATCACGGTACGTCGGCCATTCCGTAACAATCACGTTGTTCGGCGTCAAACACACATCCTCGATCCCCGTCGAAATATCGACAAACAAATTCGTGAAACGCACGTCCAACTCTTGAAATCGGTAATCAATCTGTTGAAACCGATCGTTGAATGTTGCATCACGTTTTTTTATGGCATCTTCTCGTCCCGGCTACATCGCCAATCGTACTGACTGCTGATACCAACTGATGTAGGGGATGCGTACGAGTGGGAAGGATAAAAGAGATACTCACTCTCGATAAACCATACAAGAACTGATTTCTTATTTCATATTCAACTGATTGTACATTCTAGCAGACTGCTAATAAATAGAGTTCAAGATCTCCCACAATTCCTAATTTATCAAACAAGTAAATAAAATATCTTATAACCACCTAATCAAGATAATAATAATAATAATAATAATAATAATAATAATAATAATAATAATAATAATAATAATAATAATAATAACTATTATTCTGCACCATTTTGTCCCATGTGGCGCGTGTGTGACGTGTGGGTCCCACTCATGTATCCTCACTGGCCGGTTAACTTTATCCCACCAGATTGGTGGGGATATTTTTTAATGTTTTAAATACTGTACAGTACCGACCAGTAATATCGGATATCGGCCATTGGTACGATAAAATTACACTCAAAATATCAGATTTACGGTTATATCGGTTTGTACCGGGATCATACCGTAAAAACCACAAAATACCGGCCAATTAAAAAAAATAAAAAAAATTAAAATTTTTGAATTTAAAAAAATAAAATTAAATTGGTAGTTAAAATGTTCATTTTTATTTCATTGAGAAGTTGAAATTAATTATTATCGTCATTTATTTTTTTTAATTTCTTGCATTTGATATTATATATATTTATGTATACTTATATTTATCATTATATTTGTTAATTTGGTAATATCATCGATATTACCGATCTGACCGGTAATACCGCATTCCGGTAGCTATACCCGTATGACCACGGGTGCCGTATTTAAAACACTCATAT